ACATGACCTTGTAAACAAATTAAAGCCAATGATGCATCAATAACTACGCTAAAGCTTCTGCACCCCCATAAAATTTCATCTCCCACCCCCATAAAAACCTTTCAAAAAATGTTTTCCCTAAAAGATGGGTGATTGAGGTGCAAGAAGTAATTGCCCGATAAAAGCTATGAAAAATCAAAGAAAAATCTGAAATCGACTTATTAATTACTATATTCTAAATAAAATTTGATACTATAATTAAATTTAAAAACATCATTTATTAACACAAGTGATAATGACTTGTATACTTTGGTCAATAATAACACGTAACAATATTGAAGTTATAAAAAATAGTATACTTTTCGAATTATAAATAATTTAAGAAATGTAAATAACAAAAAAAATTATATGTTAGTTCACCTTTTGGATCCAGTAATAATATACACGCATTAAAAGAGATGTTGATTTCAAATTTTAGACTTGAGATAAAATAAACAAAAAACGAATGACTAACTTAAACTATTATTTTCATTGCAATCGATTATCTTTAATAAAATAATAAATTATTTTTATAATAAACTTTTTCCGTTTCAATCCTTCTTAAAAATATTAACCATCTTTAATATTATATAAATATCTTTTATTCAAGTATTTTTAATATATTGGTTTCCTTTATTTATTTTCACATGTGAATCATGTAAAAAGATCCAGGAGTTCAGCATCCGGTGTGGTGGTTCTATCCTTTACGTCATCTAATTTATGAAGTAGTAGTTATCAATTCAATATATCACACCGCTTCACTGTCGCGTCTCTCTCTCTCTCCCTCGCTTTTCATTCTTTTCTGGAACTATTCAACAAAAACATAAATAAAGATATTCATATCTTCAATTTTTGTGCCCCTCAAATGTCAATTCATACTACTAAATATGGCAGGACGTGTCAGCAACTGCAACTCCTACCTTCACTTTCCAAAGGAAGGCAATCAGAATAAAAAACAAAAATATTTATTTATTTATTTTTATCAATTTTACGAATGAATATCATTTTTCTAAAGTTAATTTCATCCCATTACATACACAATGTTAAGTAAATTCTTACAATAAAGTGAATCTTTTTATTTACCTTTTTTTATGTAGTCGGGATTCCATATATTTATATCACAGAAAATCTTATAGAATAGTTTAAAAGCAGATTTTACGTTTCTCTGTCTAGTACGTCTATAATGTGAAATAACAGATTTGCAATCATAAATCGTATAAATCTCCAACTACTGTTTCGGGAGCTAAAATATCCATGTGAAGGTCAAGGAAATACAGAGTATATGTGTTGTAGGATAGAACACGAAGTTATGCTTCTATCCATGCAACCTTGTTGTCATCCCATTTCCTTTAAACCCCCTTTTCCAATGCTGGGTCCATACAATGTTCCACTTTTTCCAACGCAATAACTTGATCCATTATTATCCACAAATTAACTCTTCATTACCCAATACAATCATTGGGTTGTACACCAAAATCATTTCTATATCTAAATTGTTCATTAATAATTAATTTCTTTCTTTCTATCTCACCTTACAGAACATAACAGTAAAGATGATTACCTGATGATCATTATAATCAAAGTTTAGTACAGTGCCAAAAGCAAAAGCTTTTCTCAAACTAGAGGAAGAAATGAAACACTGAAATTAGGAAAGGTAAGAGAGGTAAATTGAACAAATTAAACTACACATCTCACAGAAATTGATTGCAAACTACTTAATTTATTGCCAGAGGAAGAAGCTAGAAGAATGTAGCAGTGTTGGAACGCAGATCAATTTCTTGGGTCCAAGCGGTTCTGTCCTGAATGTGCAAGTGCCAATATGTTTGAGCCACGGCGTCTGGGTCCACTGTGCCCTCATCCTCTCCACTGCTTATGCTTATTTCGTCCCCAACCGAACCTGATTTTCTCCGACAATAACTGTACATGTACGTCCACAACATATCAGATTAATCAAACCTTATGCTAACTCTGTAGCATTGATTGAAGAATCGTTGTCGCATGTTTTAGTTAATTCATGCATAGATTGATTCACACCTTAAGACTTTTCCTTTTTAGGGGTTTGTTATGTTGACGCATGCATGCATAAAGATGGGGAAAGTAGGACTTGAATCGGAATCTATTGACCGACGATGAATAACAAAAACGAACCTGGGTGGGGCAACAACACCGTCAATGATTACATGTGCTATGTGCACTCCGTGAGGTTGAAATTCCCTTGCCAAGCATTGTGCCAGCGCTCTCAATGCGAACTTCCCGCAGCCTGTCAACATTCATCAATTCAATTTATCAAAACCACTGGTTTTGGTGGAGATAGAATAACAATAACCAAACAATAATCAATTAATGCTTGTTTATTACATAGTTGGGAGTATCCAGGTATGCCATTCAGTGAAGCAGAACAGCCCGTGAAAATGATCGTGCCCTTCCCTCTTTCCACCATCCCCGTCAACACCTGATTCATTCGTTCCACCCATAAATGTTATATCAAACCTAACGAGACTCGTCAATTTGTAGGGAACATTGAATATTTTGTTACTTACTGTAAGTAAATATAGAAAAAAAAAAGGTTAAGGAAGAGAATAATATTATTAGAGAACCTCTTGAGCGCAGTGGAAGGCACCGACGGCGGAAACAGCGACGGAATTTTGAAAAGTGTCGAGATGGATGTTTTGGAAGGAGATGGGGTTGGGAGAGAGGGGTTGGTAATTAGCATTATAGACAAGAACCTCAATGAATCCGAGGGAATGAACTCCTTCGAATGCATCCCTCACGCTTTTGGAATCGGCGCAGTCCACGCGTATCGCAAACACCTGTGCTTTCTCTTCCCTCGCTATTTCCTCCGCCACTCTCGACAATCTACCTGTAAACACACACACGTATATATATACATATATCTACATCATCACCATACTATTTATACATACATACATACACATGATGTAAGCATATAAACGTGCCTAGGTCGCGAGCGAGAATGGCAACAGTGTAGCCATGGTGAGCGAAGTTGCGGGCGATGGAACGACCTAGCTTGGGACCCACGCCAACTATAGCAGCAATGCCTCGGGCGGAGCTAGAGCTTGCGGTGCTTCTGATCATCTTGAACCAATGTTAAGTTACTAATCAAACCAAGAAACGAAAGCTTTCATTTTTGTTTTGAGGTTCAAACAAGATATATATGATTAAGGAGTATGCTTATGGTGTGTCTTTATCCTGAAAAGGAACCGATGCGATGCAGGGTTTGTCGTTTTCAAGAAACTCTTGCACACTGTTATCTTGTAGGTTCTAGCTTATAATAGAGCACGTTACGTTACATTCCTTTATTAGATTTTGAAGGGTGGAGAATTCCATTAGTGGAAAGGAAAGAAAACATGGAGCACTTTAACGGCAGATATTCAATGCATATGGCACAAACTATTATTGTGGTTGCAGCTAGTTGGGAGGGCAGAGAGACATGGGACCCTTTAACACATGCCTCTCTCACTCTCTATATGCTTTCTTTTGCTTGGATGCATATCCAATTCAGGACTCATCCTCCTTAAATTTAATGTCTCTTTTTCCAACAATTTTTTATTCCAGAAAGATATACCATATCCATACAGTTTTATATTTATCATGTTAACTTTTATAAAGTACTACTTTTTTTTTCTTTATCTCACTCTAATAAATTACTTTTCAAATTATAAAATTAAGATATAAATATGAGTCTCGTGAAATTATTGTATTAGAATAGAACTTCTAAAATAAATCTTAAAAATGGCATCAATAATATGATTTCTCTAAAATAAAATAAAGACTCTTGCCGTGAGTTTATATTTATAATATTTGTGTAATCGATCATTTTTGTTGTTGTAAATTTTAATAAATTCCTCTTGCTTTTCTTGAATTAAATTATGTCAATTTTTTACTGATCATAGTGGAAAAAGAGTTCAATTTGGTATAGTTAGTTTAGTTAAAATTTGGTCTAGCCCAACTTAAAGTTGATCCTAATCTTAATTAAAGGTTAAAATTAGTAAATCTGGATAAAAAATCGAGATAAATTGAATTTGGTTGATGGTCGACACAAATCCATTTGGATCAAAAGTTAAAATTATTACAATTTGGGTTGAAGGTTAATTCGTTTTAGATTAAAGGTTCACTCGGATTGATCTCGATTGGAATTTGAGATAATCACTCTAAATTGAAAATATAAATCAATTTGGTAGAAACTATAAATCAATTTGTATGAATTTTGATTTGGGGTTATTTAATTAAAAGTTGAGATAAATTTATTGAGATTGTTTAATAATATAGACCAACTTAAATTGAATGTCTAATAATATATTTTAAAAAATTGATATTTTTTCATGTATGAAAAGAATGTGTCATAAGACTTTTTTTTTTGTGAACATTTTAACTCTCTTAGCTTTTTAATGGGAGTTTTTTTCTTTATTCTGTGAGCTTTTTTTTGGCTTCAATTCCCATTAATGAAGACCAAAGCATGTGAGTATGAATCAAATGGGCAACTCTAATTTTAGATTATATATTTCGAAAACTTTTCACTGCTTTCCAAAATTTCGAGAAGAACATTTCTGGAACAAAGTTTCTGGGACAAAATTTTCAGAACATAATTTCAAAAATAAACTTTCTGAAACAAATAAAATAAGTTCTGAAATAAAATTTTCGAAGTGAAGTTTAAAAAAAAATTCAGAATTTATAAAATGCCTTTTAGAATGTACTATTCAGAATAGCCACATAACAAATGTGTTTCGGAAAAAAAAAATTCTAATATGTTTCAAAAAGCATTCTGGAATGAGTTTTGTTTTTTCTGCATTTTCTTTCTTCTTCCTGTGCAGCGTTCTCCCTCTCTTTTCCTTCCTTTGCAGCAGCGTTGCCACTGCAATGATGATGATAGCAGTGGTGGTGTAGTGTGATGCACTGGTGAAGGATGTTTAAAAGGATTTTCCCAATATTATGGGGGTGCATTAGTAATTGTGGGGGTGAAGGAAGCAATAGCCCAACATTGATCCATTGACCATTGTCCTATTCTTAACTGTTTATTTATTTCTTAGTTTTTAAATAGGACCTGGTCGTTGGGTCGCGCTATTTCGCAGTTCCTTACTATTCGATATCCATTTTACAGTTACAAGTTTTTGTTGCTACCATTCTATTCCTTTTCTGAACCCAATCAAAGTCTGCATCCTCTTCTCCATTCGGTATTTTGAACTCTAAACGTAAGGATGAAATTGTAGGTGGACGTTGGGGAAGCGTGTCCATGGAGTGGACAACATTGCAGCATCTTGATCTGCGCCATGTTGGTCTTGGCGTGAGACCTTTGCAGCCACATGCTGCTATCTTCCATCCTTATCAGGCACTCGTCGCCGTCGCCATCGGAAACTTCATCGTCGGTGAGTACCTTCCTGTAGTGGCACTCTCTTGTGGTGTTATTGGATTCAGGACCCGAACCTCACTCTGCTTTTAGAATTTGGAAACGCCTACTCATGCGTCTCGGATTACTACTTATAACATGTGAGAAGTAATGCAGCATGGCAAAGTACGAACCATTTCTTTGATGGAAGAATTGGTTAGCTCATTCATAACCTAAAACAACTATATCCAATTTGGTGCTGCATTTGAAGTTATTGTTCACTACAAAGTAAAAAGCCCGTCTAAAATAAGAAAATCCTAACTAAATACCTTTGTTAACCACCTTAACGTAATGCCTGGTAAATATTACTTACTTATGTTGAAGCTTTCATTTGTAAAGGAATGTATTGATGAGAACAATTCTCTTTGTTGATCTATTATATCCGAGTCACTGGTTTCACGCACCTAGCCTATTGCTCTTGAGAATTAACCCGTGTGGAGTAGGCCTGCCTTTTTTTTTCTGCTTCATTATTTTCTTTTCGAATTATTTTTTGCAAATGTGTCCCTAATTAGTCTGTTTACATGTATGCAGAGTTCGATGCATTAACAGGAAGCAAGATTTCTACTCTTGAAATTGGTGCTCCAGTTGTCCGCATGTTATATAGTCCTACAAGAGCGCATACTGTGATTGCAATTCTCCAGGTTGGACCTACCGGACTTACATTTTTGTGCAAATGAGAATTTTCTTTTGTAGTTTCTGGTAATACCTTTAGTATTCAAAATGCTAGCATATGAGGAGATATATTGATTGGAAACTGATTGAAAACTTGATGCTAGGAAATCGGTTAAGGTGGTTTGACATTTACTAAAAAGGCTACTGGAAGTACTAGCGAGGAGTGTAAATTGAATGGATTTTAGTTTTATGAAAAGGGGGAGTGGGAGACCAAATTAAGGTAATGACGGAAATTGTTCCGATGAATACATCTATGGGAATTTGGTCTTTAGTTGAGCTCAATGACAATGTGTGGTCAAATGTCGCCAATTTTGTTTAGTGAGATAAAACTTGCTGTATGGTAACATTATTTTCTAATGCTTCAGTTCTCAAAGGAACTTGTGAAACTTCTTCTCCCAATAAAGTATGGACAGTGGAAGGATAAAATACAACAAATATTATACGCACGGTTAATGTGTTTCAGCCTATCGTATTGTTCTCCTAAAATCCATAAATTTCCAGAAACGTGTTTGTGCTTTTGTATTTTTGGCAAGATATGTATGCAAATCAGGTCCTCATTAGTATATTTAAGGTAATAAGGACAAGATTGTAGGATGTTGCTGAACCATTCACATGGTTAAGTTCAGTTCAGAAAAAGAAACAATTTCAGGAAAAATATTGGAAATTATGTACGTGTGGAATAATTAGGANTGTAGTTTCTGGTAATACCTTTAGTATTCAAAATGCTAGCATATGAGGAGATATATTGATTGGAAACTGATTGAAAACTTGATGCTAGGAAATCGGTTAAGGTGGTTTGACATTTACTAAAAAGGCTACTGGAAGTACTAGCGAGGAGTGTAAATTGAATGGATTTTAGTTTTATGAAAAGGGGGAGTGGGAGACCAAATTAAGGTAATGACGGAAATTGTTCCGATGAATACATCTATGGGAATTTGGTCTTTAGTTGAGCTCAATGACAATGTGTGGTCAAATGTCGCCAATTTTGTTTAGTGAGATAAAACTTGCTGTATGGTAACATTATTTTCTAATGCTTCAGTTCTCAAAGGAACTTGTGAAACTTCTTCTCCCAATAAAGTATGGACAGTGGAAGGATAAAATACAACAAATATTATACGCACGGTTAATGTGTTTCAGCCTATCGTATTGTTCTCCTAAAATCCATAAATTTCCAGAAACGTGTTTGTGCTTTTGTATTTTTGGCAAGATATGTATGCAAATCAGGTCCTCATTAGTATATTTAAGGTAATAAGGACAAGATTGTAGGATGTTGCTGAACCATTCACATGGTTAAGTTCAGTTCAGAAAAAGAAACAATTTCAGGAAAAATATTGGAAATTATGTACGTGTGGAATAATTAGGATTAAAATGGACATAAAGGATTTATGTACTTAAGATTTGGACTGCAATTTAGTTGAATTTTCTCCTTTTTTTTCCTTCAAAATAAGAAAAAACTTGTTAGTTAAGAAAGTCTTGCTGTAGTAATATTTCTTCTGATTTTAGTGAAACTGAGATGGGCATGTTGTGAGGTTTCACGTGCCGGGATTGTTTGGGAAGATATTTTACTAATTCATTTTTCTATTTAATTATATCTTGATATTTGGTTAGAGTGTCATTCTCCCTTTTTTATTGAAAGGTATTTGTTATGAGCTTGGTGTTATATATTTTGATTTTGATAATTTTAGTTAATGAGGAGAGATCATTTATACCAATGTAACTTAATTCAACCATTACATCATCAATAACTTTACATAAAAAGTGATTTTTGTCTGTTCAATTGTTTAATTATAATTTTATATCATATTGATTGTTTATGTCAAAGTTTTTCCATAGTGAACAAGTCTGTTCAATTGTTTAATTATAATTTTATGATTGTTTATGTCAAAATATTTTCCATATTGAACAAAAGGTAATCACATAATTCATATTTTAGTATATTTTTAAAGACAAAATAATCTTTGATGTTTTTTACTTATGTAAAATTTATCTATATGAATGAAGTATCAAATAATTTGAACTAAAATAAGATTTTGTATGCATTATCTTCGTGAAAAGAACCTTAAATCCAAAGGTGAGTTTTAAGAAAACTTGATCCAATTGTAAGTTATTGAATGATGCAGTAGTTGATAAAAGTTACATTGGTGTAATTTGATCTCCATCCTTTAGCCCAAAAGTTGCACACATAGATAATCCAATGTAGTGAATTTCTGTGCCATTTGTCGGGTAAATTACATTTTTCTATACTTACTCCTTTCCCTAACTTCGGAGAATTTTAGTCTTTGTTATTTCTGAATGTAATGTTCCGAATTCCTGTTTTTATCGGTTTATGTTTTGAGTTGTGACACCAAGATCTTCTGTACTTATTACAACAGTTGATTTTCCATTTGCAGGATTGTACATTACGATCCTGTGATTTTGACTTAGAGCAAACATCCGTACTGCATTCACCAGAGAAGAAGAATGAGCAAATTTATTCTGATACAGAAGTTCATCTGGCATTAAGCCCACGCCAATCTATTGTGTTTTTTGGATTTCATAGACGGATGAGTGTGACAGGTTGGATATCTGGTTTCTCACATGTTAAGTTAGATGTGTTATTGTCTCCAATTTGACTGCTAATATTAATATTTTTGGTCTATATCTGTTTTTGCATAAATGAAGTTGTTGGAACTGTTGAAGGCGGTAGAGCACCCACAAAAATTAAGACAGACATGAAGAAGCCTATTGTGAATCTTGCTTGTCATCCTCGCCTCCCCGTTCTGGTATTTATTTGAATATATTTTTAATCACTTTTAGCAGGTTCCTGCTATGCATATTTGTGCTTCAATAAAGACTTAGTTTCCAGTCTCTCTTCTAATGATACTTCAGCTCTGTTCTTTTGACTCCGTTGCTTTTCTGTCCTAGTATGTAGCTTATGCAGAAGGTTTGATTCGAGCATATAACATTCACACTTATGCTGTTCATTACACACTTCAAAGTGAGATGACTCCTGACACATTTTATTCTTGATAAGATGGTTTATATTTCTCTTGTGAGTCATATCCTTACTGTTATTTTATTTTGTTTCTTATTCAGTTGACAATACTATAAAGCTTAATGGTGCCGGTGCTTTTGCATTTCACCCAACTCTAGAGTGGATATTTATTGGTGATCGACGTGGTACTCTATTGGCATGGGATGTATCAACTGAGAGACCTAGTATGATTGGATTGTGAGTAACTGTGTCTATGGCTGAGATTTCCCTTTCCTGTAACTTAGAGACCTTGTATCGTGGAAATATTCATGTTTGTCTTGGGTTCTGATGGTTATATTATTTCATATCCAGAACACAAGTTGGATCACAACCAATAACATCAGTTGCTTGGCTAGCCACATTACGGTTACTTGTAACCCTATCAAGGGATGGAAATCTGCAAGTTTGGAAAACACGGGTTGTAGTTAATCCTAACACACCTCCTATGCCGGCAAGTTTTTTTGAGCCTGCTGGTTAGCTAACTTTGACTCTTTAAGCCTCTACTCTGAATTTCACGTTGGTTTTTGACAGCTTGTTTCTCTTGTATCAATTTTCATGCAAACTTTCTAGTGGTCCTGTCCCCCCTCTTGTAAAATGCTGTAGAATATAGAAGGATAGAGAGAAGGATCATTCCAGCAGTTATCTTGCTTCACTCATTTTACTAAACATGGTTGGCTAATACTTTTGACATTCGATGCAGCAATTGAAGCACTTGATATCCCTCGCATCCTTTCTCAACAGGGTGGAGAAGCTGTGTATCCCTTACCACGAATTAAAGCTTTAGAATTTCATCCAAGATCTAATTTAGCAGCACTCGTATTTGCAGTTGCGTGAAACCTTCCATTATTTTATACCTTCGCCCGTGAATATTGGATTTATGAATTTGTTGTTTATTTTAATAGAACGTAACAAGTGGAGAAACTTCGAAAAATAAGACCACGTACAGTAGAGAAAGGAGAAAGAAACTTTATTCAGTTTTGCAATGTGCACGGGGATCATCAGGTGATTGATTTTTATTTAACTAGAATCTAAAGATCCTTTAGTATTCGAGTTAACAACTGCCAATTTGTGCATCAAATTTGCCATTATAACATCGATATTTGTCTCGGATAGTGATATGTGGTGACCAACCTGAGAAAAACTACAATAGGATAGTTCATAGTGCAATGGCCTCTATTCGTAAATCTTAAGCGCTCTTAAAATAGTTTATGTTTTAGTTCCATAGCTATTGTGATTGTCAGTTTTGGTCTCGGATTTATATCAAGTTATTTTGTTTCCTTACATTTCTATCCTTTGCAATATGGTCGCTACATCCTAATTCCATTTGATGGAGTTAGTTAGTGTGACAGACTGGCATCACAAAGTAGAGTGTAAATGCAATATACAAGCTAAAACACAAAATACTTGTACTACTATAACCTAAAAAGGTACTTTGATTGTATAGACAAAATTGTCATTATCACTAGGCTTGTATGTGAATTTTTTATTTTTGACACCAATGAACAAGTGAAGAAATGTCTTTTCACTTTGAACAAACTAATGGCTAAATTACTGAATGAAATCAAGATGGAAGGGAGAAAACTTGAATTATTCAATTAGAAATTAGGAGATTAAAATCTTACAATCACAATAGTTTAGAAATTAAAAACATTTTCTGTTTTCTAAAGGAAATCGTGTAAGGAGTAACGAGTTTATTGAGTATGACTCATTCTCTTACATTAGACGATGATTTCCTCGACCATTGCATCCTGCTTGGTTTCCACGACCTCCCCTTCTATAAGTAGATACCATTGTCGAAGATTCAGCAAACTTAGGAGTACCTCCACTATTTTTTAGAGTAGGATTGTGAAGAAGCCTTGCTGTTAAAACTTTCCATTAAAGGAATCTCTTCACTGGTAAGAATTTGGCCAGGAAGGTGATCAAAATATGGATTCAAACAACAAAGAACCAGTGCCGAGTAGAGTTTGTTAAGTTTCTTCACCTTTTCTAATGATTTTCCCTCTACAAACGCTTAAGTTCTAATGCAATACAACTGATTGGGATTGATCAATGTATATGATATCATGTCATGATCGGTATGTTTAAGAGAGACCAAATTTTGTGTAGAATCATGCTATCGTTGAATGTTATTAGCAAAAATACTTTGAACCTCCCTCTAAAATGAACAGCATGTCTTGAAAGTTTTGAGAGTCTCCAATATATTGTTGGATATCCAAGTGTGAGTCCAAGTACCAAATTGGATAGAAATGAGAAAGTAGAGCAGTATATAAAGATGAAAGACCCATTAACTCATTAACTTAAGGTTTTGGGTAAAGAGTGGTGTCGATCCCTTATATAGTTGGTTCAGATGTTATTAGTCCTAGAGGTAAATACATCACATTCTAGAAGCTAGGGCTACAAGGACAACGACTGTGCTAGCCTTGGAGGCCAAGTGTGCGCCTATCTACTTCTAGAAGGTCAAAGATTATACATAAGTTTTTGGTAAAACACTAAATGTTTGTCTCACTCCAAGCTAAATGTTTGTCTCACTCCAAGTCATAAATTAGAACTTTTGGTTATTATGTCTATGTATTCTATTTAAGAGCAATTGCTCCTCCATGAATAATATCGGAAATAATATTTTTGACACTAATAGAAAGCATTGGTGCTGACACGTAAAGGCTCAGATCACTAATTGAGTTCAGAAAGAAAACCATTAGCCTAAGCAAAAATTCTTAACATACTCATTTTTGTGTGCATATTTTGCTACTTACTTTTTTTACTGTGTATTGTTAGTCTTTTCAGTTTATTGCCTATATTAGTGTCATACTTGTCATATTAGCATAATAATTGTTGTTTTAATGATGAAGCTCTTTAATGAGATATATGCTAAAGATAGAGATGCTATGCAGCATCTTTTTTAAAAGAAAAATTATCAGCCTTGGGTTCATCTGGAGTGTTAGCAGACCATCAGCTGCAAGCTCAATTACAGGAGCATCATTTGAAAGGGTGAGTTCAAATCTACAACTGAGAAGAGGAAAATATTACTAGTATTATATGGAAAACCTGGTGATTAGAAACCACTGTATATTATGCTGTTCTGACAAGATCCCATTTTTTGTGGTTTTAGTTTTTAGTCTTGAAACTTAACTGGGTACTACTATATTATATTTTGAATTATGAAAATGAGAGAGGAAGAATCTTAGTATTTCCAAACTTTAATTAACTGATTACAACAGGTAAGAGATCAAGTATATGTAGATGTACAAAACCTGACAAATAACTATGAGATAACAGTAGTTACAGAGTACATTTATTACGAATGTGACAAACCCTGACAAATAACTATGAGATAACAGTAGTTATACAAAAATCTGTTTACAGAGTAAACTTTGCTCAAATAGTAATACCGCCCAAGCTCGTGAATGGAACAAGCTGGAGTCAACCACTGCAATGTTGGTCTTAAGAGCTACAAACCGAGTTGGAGTTATATCCTTGATCAAAATATCGACATGTTAACAAGAACGAAGGATATGCACAACTTGCAGTTGTTTGTTTATTATTCTTTTTGCGAACAAAAAGGAGATCCAATTGCATGTGGTTGGTGTGACCATGAAGAATTAGATTATGAGCAAGAAAGCCACATTGCTCACAGTGTCATAGGCTCACTGAACTTTTTGTGATCAATGATTACCCTCATAAAACACATTTGTATGACTTGGGTGCCAATTTTTCAAGGCCTAAGGTAAGGTTATGAAGAAAGTAGGCGGTACTAAAGACACAAGGAGGAAGCATGTAAAGATGTGAATGGGGGAAGAGGACAAAATATTCTAGAGGCAGTCTAGAGAGCCAAAGTCATGAAAAAGGTACTTTGATTCTCCAATTCCTTCTTGGTCTCGGTCAGGATAGAAGTAGCCGGTGGCNATATTAGCATAATAATTGTTGTTTTAATGATGAAGCTCTTTAATGAGATATATGCTAAAGATAGAGATGCTATGCAGCATCTTTTTTAAAAGAAAAATTATCAGCCTTGGGTTCATCTGGAGTGTTAGCAGACCATCAGCTGCAAGCTCAATTACAGGAGCATCATTTGAAAGGGTGAGTTCAAATCTACAACTGAGAAGAGGAAAATATTACTAGTATTATATGGAAAACCTGGTGATTAGAAACCACTGTATATTATGCTGTTCTGACAAGATCCCATTTTTTGTGGTTTTAGTTTTTAGTCTTGAAACTTAACTGGGTACTACTATATTATATTTTGAATTATGAAAATGAGAGAGGAAGAATCTTAGTATTTCCAAACTTTAATTAACTGATTACAACAGGTAAGAGATCAAGTATATGTAGATGTACAAAACCTGACAAATAACTATGAGATAACAGTAGTTACAGAGTACATTTATTACGAATGTGACAAACCCTGACAAATAACTATGAGATAACAGTAGTTATACAAAAATCTGTTTACAGAGTAAACTTTGCTCAAATAGTAATACCGCCCAAGCTCGTGAATGGAACAAGCTGGAGTCAACCACTGCAATGTTGGTCTTAAGAGCTACAAACCGAGTTGGAGTTATATCCTTGATCAAAATATCGACATGTTAACAAGAACGAAGGATATGCACAACTTGCAGTTGTTTGTTTATTATTCTTTTTGCGAACAAAAAGGAGATCCAATTGCATGTGGTTGGTGTGACCATGAAGAATTAGATTATGAGCAAGAAAGCCACATTGCTCACAGTGTCATAGGCTCACTGAACTTTTTGTGATCAATGATTACCCTCATAAAACACATTTGTATGACTTGGGTGCCAATTTTTCAAGGCCTAAGGTAAGGTTATGAAGAAAGTAGGCGGTACTAAAGACACAAGGAGGAAGCATGTAAAGATGTGAATGGGGGAAGAGGACAAAATATTCTAGAGGCAGTCTAGAGAGCCAAAGTCATGAAAAAGGTACTTTGATTCTCCAATTCCTTCTTGGTCTCGGTCAGGATAGAAGTAGCCGGTGGCAGGAGATCATTGAATTCATGGAGTGTTGCATGATCTCGCCCAATATAGGAAACCACAGGGCGATGAAAGCATGGTGGGGCTAAAAGAGTCATTAGGTCTTTATATATGCACATAGTTGTGCTACACTCCAAAGCAATTCACAAATTTCATGTGGAAGAAAAACAGGCTCTTATACCAAGTTACATGAGATAAAATAGAGGTTTATTGAGCATAACACTGTATTAGAATACACCACAGAATCATGATGATATAGGCTTAATTCATTCATTAAACATGATTAGAGGATATTTTATTTCCTTTGAATGAGATATTCATATCAAAATATTCTAATTTGATTCTCAACTGTCATCTTTAACCTGAAACACTTACTGTTAGGTTCCCTTCTAAGAACCCTTCACAAACAGTCTAAAAGGCACACAACACACCCACACCCAGAAAAAAGAATGATATATTCTTGTATTGATAGTAAAAGAATACAGAGTATGTGAACTGTGAGAGCTTAACCTCCTCCTCAGGAATGATAAATTACTGTTAGACTTCTACAAAACAATCAACTAACTATTCACAGCTATTCAGTTAGCTATTTATACAAACGAATACTCACTCCTCCTAACTGCCAAAACAATAAGGTATTCCTAGTTTTATTCCTTCTCTCGTAAACCCTCCAACTCCTAACACTTACAGTGAATGATAGAACGATTTGAGGGTAAGGGAACAAAAGACCTAGTAATGTTACTAAGGACAGCATATGTTAAGCTTTAGCAGCTTTCAGCCAAGTGGGATGCATGACCTGTTTGGTAGGTTTAGGTTCCATGAGTGAGTAATAAAGCGNCTGTTAGACTTCTACAAAACAATCAACTAACTATTCACAGCTATTCAGTTAGCTATTTATACAAACGAATACTCACTCCTCCTAACTGCCAAAACAATAAGGTATTCCTAGTTTTATTCCTTCTCTCGTAAACCCTCCAACTCCTAACACTTACAGTGAATGATAGAACGATTTGAGGGTAAGGGAACAAAAGACCTAGTAATGTTACTAAGGACAGCATATGTTAAGCTTTAGCAGCTTTCAGCCAAGTGGGATGCATGACCTGTTTGGTAGGTTTAGGTTCCATGAGTGAGTAATAAAGAGAAATGGAGACAGGGTTTTAACACACCTTGTTTACCTCAAATTTTTCATAATGGACACTGACAGGGAGGGAGACAAATGTGACAAGGAGGTTGAGAATGAAGGGATCTAAAGGATGAAGTGTTGAAATAACGATATGTATAGAAAGAGAGTAAATCGAGGAGAGGAGGGAGATTGGTTGGGAAAGAGATTTGAATAGCGAAACCAAAGCTTTAGTTTTTTCTAATTGATAATCTATTGCATGATAATTCACTGTGTTTAAACTTATTTTGAGGAAACATTTTCTGAGATTAGTCTTAAATTAAGCAATTTGAAGTTTATAATTGTTCAAATTGCTTTACTACTCATTACTTTTGACTCTTTTATCCTATAGTTCGTTATCCAGTACGTGTAATTATTTCCACTTTATAATTATCTTATGTCCTTGTTGATTGTCTACTCTCTTCCTTGCAGCCACAATCATCTCACAATATTAGACATTGCAAGGAAGGCTTTTCTTTACAGTGTATATTTCTTTCTTGTATTTTCTTTTACTTAAATAGATGAATGATGCAATGACATACATGTGACTCTAATGTTTGACCACCAATTTGGATGGAACAAATTTTCTTACAGCCCCGTGTTTAATTTCCTTAGAGTAGTTTATATAATCTTCTCGCTCCTGACCCATATTTTGTACTTGTACATTTGTTCTTATAGCATTTTATGGAAGGCAATACAAAAATTGCTCCAATATCTCGCTTGCCTCTCATCACTGTTCTAAATACCAAGCATCATTTGAAGGGCATTCCAGTTGTACAGGCAAGATTCCTTTAACATTTGACTTTGAGATTGATTTGTTTTTCTAGTACATTGTTATTCAATCATCTTATACCATTTATGCATTCCCAGCCATTTCATTTGGAGCTAAATTTCTTCAATAAAGAGAATCCAGTTCTTCACTATCCTGTCAGGGCTTTTTATGTGGATGGACCTAATCTTATGGCATATAATATATTATCTGGATCTGACAGTATCTACAAGAAGCTTTACAATTCGGTAATGTAGAGACTAGAAAGAGTAGTAAGTTAAACAAATACCATATTGTCTTTTTTTCTATAGAATTTATCGTTTGCACAATATTGACAAAATTATATTTCTTATTATTGATAGAGCAGAATTGCATTAGAAAGTTATATTGGTAGAGTTTAGGGAAGATCCTAAACAAATTGAGTACAAAATAAATATAAGGATAAGATAAGGAGTAAAATAAGGGATCATTAAAGGTTATGTTTGAATAATTTCATCTACAAATTACCTAAATCTTTTTTTATCCTTGTATTATATTTAAAATAAAAGCACATAAGTGAATACTCCCTTAAGTTGGTGCATAGATGTCGAACATGGCCAACTTGCTTATAAAGATTTCCAAACTAGGTCCAAGCAGTCCTTTTGTTAGAATGTTTGCCGCTTACTGTGAAGTAGAAAGAAATGGCTTGCAAATTTGGTTGGGTCCAGCAAACTATTTTTCCTCTAGAAGATTGTTTTATGTTGTATGATCACTTTCACATTGAACATACATTAGCTTATTAACAAATTAGGCAAACCTCATATACCAAGCCTTAGATAATTGTTTAATTTTGTTTAGATTTCTAAAGACTAGTTTTTGGAACTCACTCTTTAAAACACACTGTATTGCGTTAAAATTTTACTGAAAGTTTTACAGTTACAAGCATATGGTAGATTCATAAAGAATCTGTAAGTGTAGACGTGCACAATTTTGTGATTTCCAATAAATTTCAATCAAGAGTGTGTTGAGAGTGGTTTTAACATTTTCTTTGTATTAAAATGTGATATTCAACGACTTGGAAGATGCTTCATGTAGACTTTCTCCCTTCAAATCCCCATTTAGAAAAGGCGGTAGGATTCACATCGTAGTTGTCGTAATAATGATCCAAGTCTATATTGGTAGCATGACAAAAGGTGGAACTCTAACGATAAGTCAATTTTCCATCTTCTGCTCCCCCTATGGTCTATCTCTTGTGAAGACAGCTTCTGTTCCATTCAAGATCGCTTAGAGAAGACTTGTATTGACCTGTTTAGGAATTTAGGTTTTTGTTGTCATTTTTTTATATAAAAAGCCTTAAAGCTGAAGGGTTACAAGTTTTCAAGTGAGCTACAGATTTGAAATAGGAGGATGTTGTTCATGGATTTTTTTGAACCTTTCTATTGGCAATGATGATTAGGGACGCCCCATATTAACTAATGATAAGCCCAAAGGTAGTGTATATAATTGGAGGAATGCTCATTTTAGTAACTAGCGGGTTTTGTAGTATTGGTTAGGCTTAAAACCAATTATAAAATGGATAGTAGAGTCGATTGTGGTGTTTGGGCCAATTGGTCATTTGCAATTTAGTCATCATGGGGTCCATCCTAAGAGGGTGAGTTAGAAAGGTCCATATCAATTAGTTATATGATCAAAGTACTATAAGTAAAATACAATCCTATTATGACTTGCACAAGGACAGTGTGTGGAGAATAGATAAGAACATTATATCAAGCAGCCAGTAACTCCAATATCTATGATCAATGGGTTTTAGAATTGTATGTTGTACTCAGAAAACCAGTAGAATTTTGTAGCACTAAGAGAAATTTTAGTTGAAAAGAACTTGCACAAGTGTTTTAATTGTTCCTTAGTGAAAGGAAGGGACTTTCCCTTCTACTCCATGTTTTTCTCTATTTGAGGCTTAAAATGACCCTCTCCATTCCAGCAAGTTGGATTATAATCTGGGAATACAACTGAGAAAAAGAGCATTGCCACTAATGAGGATGCAACTTTGTCGCCAACAGAATTCATGGAAGACATGGTGGGAAAACATAGGAACAGAGATACATGCAAATTTTAGAAGAAAATGACATTTGTAGTATCATTGATCAGAAGGTTAGCATTGAGTTATGGAGGAAACTGTCTTGGAGAGATCCTTGACCACTCTCATAGAAAATAAATATAGAAGGATTAAGATTAGGGGGAAATTAGGAAGTAAAAAGAAGGATAGGATTTGAGTAAATGGGGCAATCTTGATTGTATCTACCTAATCTTCTAAAAGGTGTCTTATTCGAAAATTGAAATAAAAGCACATGCAGCTGTTTGACGATTAGTTTATAACTATTTATATTTTACAAGTGAAAACAATATTCAACCTTCAACGTTCAACAACTTTGTATAGATTCCTCGGGGTGTGGAGTATCAAGCAAAATACTTGATTTACAGTAAAAAACAGCACCTATTTCTTGCGGTTTATGAATTTACTGGTACTACAAATGAAGTTGTACTTTACCGGGAAAACACTGATGCAATGACATCAAACAGTAAAAGCAGCACAGTTAAAGGTATTATTTATACGCATAGAATACGTTTTATTTTCTCTTCCCGAGTTTGGCCATGCATTGTTGCTATAAGTAATTAATTCTAGTAATTGTCTACAGGTTGTGATGCGGCATTTATTGGTCAGAATGAAAATCAGTTTGCTATTCTCGATGATGACAAGACAGGGCTGTCAGTATATACACTACCAGGAGGAGCCTCACAAGAAACAAAGGGGAAAATGATAAACTTTTGAAGAAAATCAACCCTACAGGAAACTAACGATGTTCAATTCGCGGCCCAACGCATTTATGTTTGAAACTGAAGTTGATCGTATCTATTCAACTCCTTTAGGTGCTTGAATACATACATATTTACTTCATCACTTTTTGTTTCTGCGTACATTTGGAGTGATGGGGTCCATTGATACTGCAGTAAATCAAATTAATCTTAAAATAAATTACTTCCTATAGGGTGTAATTCTCACAAAACCCCTTTTTGTATTAAAATTTGTATCATATGCATCATGCACATAAAATTTCACATTGAAGAACTTTCGCACTCCGTGAGGAATTCTTGAATATATTTGTAAACCCTACTTTCAAATAAATGGAAACATTTACCATTTCCCAGTAACTTTTTTCTAATTTAACTTCTCTGATATTTTGCCTTCCAAGTTTTTGATAATATTTACGCATATTCAATGGTTGGATTGGTCAATATAGTTTTGTAGAAAAAATCAAAGTTTAAATAATATCAAGTCCTAATTAAACTGGCGACGTTTGATCTTTCCCTTACAACCTAACACATCTTTTTCACCATTGCCATTATTTTACTAGCAGTATTAAGTACTGATTTCTTGTTACTGGTCCCAGATTCAACTTTGATGTTTGCTTCTCATGGGAGCCAAATTGGACTAGTAAAGCTCATACAAGGGTACCGCCTTTCCACTTCATCTTCCAAAGGGCATTATATATCAACCACGGGCGAGGGCAAAACGTCACTCAAATTGAAAAGGAATGAGATTGTACTTCAGGTATCATTCAATAGCGGTGCTTATTTAATTAATGACTAGGAAGTATGGTCTGCACACCTTGTCTGTGCATTTAAGGTGAAAAACCAGGGATAGTGAAGTAAAAAAGAAAGGAGACTTAATGGATTGTGGTTAATTAATCCCTTCTTTTTTCGAAAAAAAACCCAATGAACCCATAATTTTTAAAGAGTAATTAAATAATAGAATACATGATTCAGTCCAAAAGAGAAGAAAAAACTCGAAAAACTAAATAATAAACTGAAATAAGTTGTGAATGATAATGAGAAGAGTAAATAGAAGTGAATGACATTCAAGCCTTTATATATTGTTGATAGCTAGTGATAAGATCCCCTGAACTCAAGTTGTGTTAGAGACAGCTAGAGAGGTATCACAGTATAAGGAGGGAGAATTGGAAGCCTAACCTACTGCTGAACTGGCAGTAGTGGCGTAGGGTTTCAGAAGTTGCTAGAGAGGGAAAGAAGTACAAAGGAGGTTGTAGTGAGAGAGAAGGGGACTGGAACTGCCTTGGATTAGGAGCAAATTGGGCACTCTCGAATTTGTCCTGTTATATTTATTTTCTCCTGCTATTCTAATTTCTAATTGTATTTCTCTATTCCCAGTTCTGAATCACATTGATTCTGACGGAAACATCTATTATTAATGCAAAACTGATCTGTAAAATGAAGATTGTATTTATCTATATAATACTTTGGTCATATCTCTAATTAATGTAAAATCTCTATCAAATTGTTTGCAATTGTGTTCTTCACACACACGTTTCACAAATTGTTTGCAATTGTGTTCTTCACACACGTTTGTCATTTGGGAATAATCGAAGGCGTTTTCTTAGCATTCACAGAGAAAAATAAGGCTCTTTACAGCCAAGCCTCCCCTTTGGTAAAAGTCATTATTACTCATTAGTTTAGGGTTTCTTGTTTGCATAAATAATATTTGTTGAAATAAAAGAGAAAGAGAAACCTGGGCTGAATCTCTAATTGTTGTTAAGACCGCAAAGAATTTTGCATATATAAATAGAAAATATAAAGGATGGTCATAAATTATATACTAATATTGTCCGTTAATACCAAATTATAAATATAGATATTTTAAATCTCTTAATGATTTAAATAAATCATTGAAGGTAACGAAGAGCATAAACTTTACCCAAATATTCAGCCATTATATCATTAACACTCCTAGGAGCGAAAATATTTAAGATATTTTGACATTGAGTATCATTGGTCTACAACAATTTGACTTGTTCCCAATGTCTCATATTTGTTTCACTGATTAATGAGTAATAGACCTTAAGTACAATGCATCATTGAACATCAATTTTTCAAACCAAGTAGAAAGCTAACTTTTAGCAATGATGGTCACATTCTGATGAAGATGATCAACATAAAGTCAAAGTCTAATGTCCGATGTTGAAATTTCGATCTAATTTGTCAATAAATAGATGTACATGTACATAGTATGGATAGACGGATCATAAGAGCAACATAAGAGGCTACATATAATTGTAGAGACAGAAACTTATCACCGGGAGAGTGAAACAACCTTAAAAAGGTGAAAAAATTCCATGAACTCCTATCATGAGAAATGATAGATAGAGTGAAGGAGAGACGAGTCCAAGTGATGTGGGTCACCGACCGCGCCGAGAGATTTTCCGGGACGCATCGCCAAGTGCAGCGGGACCGGAGGCACCGCGGGGGCTAGGCAGCCAAGCACTGTGGTGACAGGGCAATGTAGCTCCGAATCAATCTACGAATTTTCGGCGTGTGTCGCCTAGCCAGGGCGAGCAGAACTGTGGTGTCGCCGGCGGGTAGCACAACAGGGGAGAACCAGAACTGTACGTGATGGCATACGTGGTGGCAAAGAAACAGACATAAAAAAAAAATATTTTCCCGGAAGGCAAGGGGTAAAAGTGTACTTCAGATACCATGTTAAAATAAAATAGAGTGATAGGCTGAATCTCTCACCTGGCTAAGCATGTCTGATTATGCATTTATAAATAAGAAAGTGCAAAGAGACTTTATTGAATGATTTTCATTATGGTTCTTCTTTGTATAAATACATGTTTTTTTTTTCAAAATGGGCAGTTTACTGGCAAGAGGACTCTCAGGGGACACGTTGCAGGAATTTTAACAACACATAGAGTACTTATTGTTCGACATCACTTGGCATACTTGCAGGAACTTCGACAAATTTTGACAAAGGGCTTCCTTCAATATCCTTTGATTATTTTTTTCTATTAATATCAAGGAACCATTTTTCTAATTAATCATACACTTGATAATCAGCAAATATGTAAGATGAGGAGGTGAACATAAATTGTATTGTCACTTTTACTTGTAGCCATTACTTCGGGTTGAAAACCATTCTCACTCTATTCTCTATAACCACCTTCCCACTTTCCACACCTCCTCAACCAGGCCATTAAATTTCATATTTTAGTTGGATATTTTTTCTTGTATTTTAATGCCTTAACTGATGCCTACTTTAGATCAATCTTATGGATAGGGCTGCCTTCTTTTTCTACTGCCACTGCAATTAGTATACTCGGCTGGGATGGAAAAGTGAGGACTATCTTGTCAACTAGTATGCCTTGTGCAGGTATTATCTGACTGCATGCTTGCATATCACAATATCTTAGCCATCTACTTTGTGTGTTCTATTTTGGAAATTAATTTTTTAGTTGAGATATGAGGAAAAGATGAATATTTTTCCCTGACAATTTTGTACAGGCTGGATACAGATATATACTAAGTGACTAATTAATTTTAACCTAGTATTTACATGATGAGGAGGAATCTTGATTCATAGTTTCAGGAAATGAAAGGAAACTAATTACAGAGACAACAGATTGTACAAACAAAAACAGAAACAGGGAAAGTTAAGGATTAAATAATACATACTTTAACACTCCTCCTTATGTTGGTGAGTGGACATACTCTTCCTCAAATTGGTGAATGTGAATGGACATCTTTCATTCATATCTCGTAAGTGCACTCTGCCAAGTTCCTTAGTGCATTCTGTCAAATGATACCCAGATGGACATATAATGTTGTTATAAGCCCAATGTCCAGTTTCTCCATATTGAATTGTCAATCCATCTCTATACGTTTTGTTCTACCATGCGGAACTAGATTACACTGTGTGAAAGGCTATTCAAGTTTTTTTTCACTATTTATTTAGTTTACTTCTTGTACAACGATAGTATTGTAGCTCTTTACTTTTTACAGCTGTAGACTCGAACAAAACTGTTGGTTAATTGAAGTGCAGTATATAACACCTCTTTTATAATTTTTTCAGTTGGGTTGAATGTATTTTCGGAGTAGAAATTTTCTCTCAACTATTCTCTAAAATCTAATGAATGCTAATGGCATATTTGTTGACGCAGATAAGTGCCACAGGGACTTCATACTTTAAGATCAAAAATTATTTTCATCCACAAAAACTCATAAACTCCCTGGGATATGACCCAAAATTCTTTCTTGACACTTGATCTTGTTACTACATTTTACTTCTAGCACTTCCAAGAACATATATATTCTGAAGTGAGTCTTTTTATCTGGAGTCAGTCGCATCTCACAACAAATATATATTGACTAATTAATTCTGACCTTACATCTACATAAGAGATGTCTATCATAATTAAAGGAAATTAAATGGAAACTAACTACAGGGAAACAAATCTGTACAAGTAACAAGAGTAACAGGGAAATTAAAAGACTAATTAACTTGTGCTCTTAGATTTCTTTTCTGTGTATTGTCCTAATGATCTATTTTTTATAAATTCCTTATACAGTCTTGGTTGGTGCTTTGAATGATCGATTGTTGCTTGCTAGCCCTACAGAAATAAATCCCAAACAGAAGAGGGGATTTGAGGTCAAAAGCTGTCTTGTTGGTCTTCTTGAGCCTCTTCTTATTGGATTTGCCACAATGCAACAAAGTTTTGAGCAGAAGCTTGACCTATCAGAAATACTGTACCAAATAACATCAAGGTGTCTTTTTCTACCAATTGCTATCAGAAAATTCTGTCTTCTTTCTATATAGGGTAGAATGTTTTAGGCTTTTAACATTTCTTTATTTATATTAAAGCTTTGTAACAACTGACACGGTGTCTTTGTAAATTCTTATTTCAATGAAGGTTTGACAGCTTGCGCATAACACCTAGGTCTCTGGACATCCTTGCTAGAGGTTCTCCAGTTTGTGGAGACTTAGCTGTGTCATTATCTCAATCAGGTCCACAGTTCACCCAAGTAAGTTCTAAAATTATGTCTTGGCTTTTAGTTTTGATCTATTTGATCTTCTAAGGATGTTTATTTTAACATCAGGTGATGCGGGGTGTCTATGCTGTGAAAGCTCTTCGTTTTTCCACTGCTTTGTCAGTTCTAAAAGACGAATTCCTGCGTTCAAGAGATTACCCACAATGTCCTCCTACATCTCATTTATTTCACAGGTTCAGACAGTTGGGTTATTCCTGTATCAGGTTGGTAACGGTTACTACAAAACTTAAATGAACCTATGATGCTGCCACTGTGACTATTGGAACTGCTGAAATATGATGATTGTATGTTTCGTCATTATTGATTTTCTTTAATTGTAAGCCAATAGTTAAGCTATTATGTACCTAAAATTCTATATTATATGTGAAAACTGTAGATTTTTTTATTAACTTTTTTAGTGGATGCTTTAATTGCTTGACTATACTGTATAGATATGATTTGCAATAGAACCAGGGGATATTTGGGCTTCGATTTGGCACCAAACTAATGCTCCTCCCACCCGATTGATTCATTTTAGGGTAAAGTAGTACTTATAAATAACAACTCCATGTCCGAGCTGGGGATCAATCCCAATCCTTGGTTAAGGAACCCAATTGCAAAACCACTTGTGCCAACAACTTTTGGTCATTATGATGTCTTCTGATTCGTGTAGTTTACCAACCTAGAGAGAAAAGGCTTGATTATTGAAGTTTTTTGTGGTTGTTGTATATCATTAATAACATACACTTGGCATTCTTCAATAAGCCAAAACCAACTTATGCAAATTTATTTTCTATAGAAGTTCAATTATTAACTTCTCCATAAAATATGGTGCATAAATTGATTTTAGTGTATGGGTGTGAAACTCCATTCACGCTGTCCTTTTCTTTTAAGTACTTGTAGATAAGTTTATGTAACTGTTGAAAAAAACAGTAGTAGGATGCTGGAATTAATTATTCTCTCATTCATACTTTTGAAACAATACATAGGTGTTTAAAAAGAAACAAACTATTGTCTAATTAAGGTAAGAAATCTCCTGAAATAAAGTCTCTAAATCAGGAGATATCTACCCAATAATACCTGTTCTTAATAAAAGAAAATCTGCCCAATAATTACTAATCCTCATCCCTTAATTTTAGGGATTACACATAATTGCAGGAATACACATAATTGCTATATTAATTGTGTAATAAATTCACATATTCTGACACCCCCCTCAAGCTGAGGAATAGATATTGGTCATTCACAGCTTGCTTATAAGATCTTGGAAGATAGGGCTATTGAGACCTTTTTTTAACACATCAGCTACTTGTTGCCTGGATGGGACATATGCCATGCATATTAGACCTTCGTCTACTTTTTCTTTGATGAAGTGTCTATCTATTTCAACGTGTTTTGTCTAGTCATGTTGAACCAGATTATGTGCAATTTCTATTGCTGATTTATTATCACAGTACAGTTTCATGGGACCCTTCAAATCAACTTTCAAATCATCCAGAATAATTTGTATCCATAATAATTCACATATTCCTTGAGCAAGTGCTCTGAACTCTGATTCAGCTGATGATCTAGACACTACATTTTGTTTTTTACTTCTCCAAGTTACTAAATTTCCACCCAGGAAAGTACAATATCCAGTAGTCAATCTTCTATCAATTAGAGATCCTGCATAGTCTGCATCGATGTAGGCTTCAAGGTTCAATTTTTCATTCTTCTTGAATAGGATTCCCTTTTCGGGAGTGCCTTTTAAGTAATGTAGAATCCTGTAGGCATCTTGAAGGTGAGACTCTTTTGGTTCATGCATAAACTGACTTATTACACTTACCGAATGGGCAATATCTGGTCGGGTATGCGCCAAATATATTAATTTTCTGACCAGCCTCTGGTACATCCTTTTTTCTACTTCTGGTTCATCTCCAGATTTACTCAGTTTGTGATTGGGGTCCATTGGAGTTGTTGCGGGTCTGCATCCAATAGTCTTCGTCTCAGCCAACAAATCGGTTATGTATTTTTGTTAGGATATAAAAATTCCTTGGGTAGAGTATGCTACTTCAATTCCTAGAAAATATTTCAGTTTTCCAAGCTCTTTGAGATCAAATTCTTGGACTAGTCTTTGTTTCAATTTTTCCTTTTCTTTTTCATCATTCCCAGTTACTATAATATCATCCACATACACCAAAAGAACTGTTACCTTCCCCTTTTCTGAATGTTTTATGAACAACGTGTGGTCTCCTTGGCTTTGTTTGTAGCCAAATCCCTTCATAACTTTTGAGAACCTCCCAAACCATGCTCTAGGAGATTGTTTCAGTCCATATAGTGCCTTCTTAAGTCTGCACACCTTATTTTGTCTATCTCCTTCAACCCCCTGTGGGATGTTCATGTAGATTTCTTCCTCTAGGTCTCCATGAAGAAAGGCATTTTTAACATCATACTGTAGTAGTTTCCAATCAAAATGAGCAGCTAAGGATAGAAGAATCCTTAGAGTATTCATTTTAGCAACTGGTGCAAACGTTTCTTCATAGTCTATTCCATATGCTTGAGTGTATCCTTTGGCCACCAATCTTGCTTTGTATCGTTCAAGTGACCCATCAGCATTATATTTTACTGTGAATATCCACTTACAGTCAACAATATTCTTTTCTTTGGGTTTATCCACAATTTCCCAAGTGTTATTCTTCTCTAATGCTGTCATTTCCACTTGCATAGCATCTCTCCACTCTTTCTTTGCTAGTGCTTCAATAATATTATTTGGTATAACCACAGAATTCAAGTTTACAATAAAGCTTTTATGATTAGCTGATAATCTATCATAAGAAACATAATTTGAGAGAGGATAGAGAGGTTTTTTAGTGCAATTTCTAGTACCTTTTCGGATGGCTATTGGAAGGTCAATCTCATTTTCTGGTTCAGGTATTTCTTCATTTTCTGGTGCAGAACTTGGATTGGATTCATGGACTTGCATCATCTCTGGAATTTGCTTTCTCCTGGTGTAAACCTTGTTAAATCTCGGAGGATTGTCAGCTTCTATTCGAGTTGCTTCAATGGGGAAATCTGTATCCATAGCTTCTGATCCTCGTTCAGAATTATGTTGTATAGTTGGAGGCTCAGATCTGTTGGTTGTGATATATGGCAGAGTTAAGAACTCAGTATTTTCATGAGGGTCTTCTAGACATTGTTCTGTAGGATTGGTTTTGTTAAAAAAAGGTTTAGTTTCAAGAAAAGTAACATCAGCTGAGATATACCATTTTTTAATGATAGGATCATAACATTTATACCCTTTTTGTGTGGCTGAATATCCTAAAAAAATACATTTAACAGCCCTGGGATCCAGTTTATCTCTAGCTTGAACAGGGACATGTGCAAAGGCTGTACATCCAAATATTCTAGGAATCAATCCATTTGATTTCTTAAAGTGAGGAAAGAAATTATTTAGGACTTCTATTGGACTCTTATTACTTAGGCCATGAGAGGGAAGTCTATTAATAAGATATGATGCAGTAAGAACAGCTTCTCCCCAATAATTTTTTGGAACATTCCCTTGAAAAAGAAGAGCCCGAGTTATATTGAGTAAATGCCCATTTTTTCTTTCTGCCACTCCATTTTGTTGTGGGGTATAAACACATGAAGAGTCATGGATGATCCCATTAGATTGGAAATACGAGGATATGGTTTGGTTGAAATAATCTCTAGCATTATCGGTCCTAAACCTTTTAATATTAACTCCAAATTGAGTTGTGATCATTGAGTGAAATATGGGAATGATAGTGCTGACATCAGATTTTTGTTTAAGCAAATAGAGCCAAGTAACCCTAGTGCAATCATCAATAAATGTTACAAACCAGCGGGCCCCAGAAATATTTGGTACTGTAGACGGTCCCCATATATCACTATGAATCAATTGAAAAGGTTGAGAGCTTCTATTATTGCTGTTGGGAAAAAAAGCACGAGTATGCTTCGCTAACTCACAAGTTTCACAATGAAGCTTTGAGATATCTAAGTTTTCATACAAATGAGGAAACATAAATTGTAGCACCTTAAATGATGGATGTCCTAGACGATAGTGATACAACCATAGTTCATCCTTATTTGTTATACTGTGAAGGGATTTTGCTTGGTTGGTTTGGGATTCTTGAGATACTTCCAAGTAGTAAAGACCATCTTTTTCTTTAGCAAGTCCAATCCTCCTCCCCGAGTCCTGCTCCTGAAAAACACATAGAGATGGGGAAAACATTGCAGAACAATTGAGATCAAATTCTTGGACTAGTCTTTGTTTCAATTTTTCCATTTTCTTTTTCATCATTCCCAGTTACTATAATATCATCCACATACACCAAAAGAACTGTTACCTTCCCCTTTTCTGAATGTTTTATGAATAACGTGTGGTCAGAATATGTGAATTTATTACACAATTAATATAGCAATTATGTGTATTCCTGCAATTATGTGTAATCCCTAAAATTAAGGGATTAGGATTAGTAATTATTGGGCAGATTTTCTTTTATTAAGAACAAGTATTATTGGGTAGGTATCTTCTGATTTAGAGACTTTATTTTAAGAGCTTTTTTACCTTAATTAGACAATAGTTTGTTTCTTTTTAAACACCTATGTATTGTTTCAAAAGTATGAATGAGAGAATAATTAATTCCAGCATCCTACTACTGTTTTTTTCAACATGGTATCAGAGTCATGGTCAGAGCCTATCCTAGCGATATTTGTTGTTTGCTAGATATATTGTTCCACCCGCTATCGGCCTCTATCGGGCCGCTATCGAACCACCCATTAAAATGTCTAATCCCACGCTCGAGATGTATATACCTCGGCGTGAGGAGGAGTGTTGGAAGTCCCATATCAACTAGAGATAAGGTCAATTCATAGTTTATAAGTGGGTGCAAACCTCACCTTACAAGCCGGTTTTGTGGGGTTGAGTTAGGCTTAAAGTCCACTTCTAACAGTAACAAGGTCTTATTCTTGTGTGGTTTAATTACTTGTTGTATCCCTATACACTTTGTTTTAGTTCCTTCCTACTGCTAAACTCAGTAGCTTCTAGGTGTAAAAATAACAATCTGTATCAACTTATAATTCCATCAACCTTCTCGTATATAAATCTGAAATCAGGGATTTTGATATGCAAATCTGATCCAGGGAAATAAAAATGAGATATGGTAATCCTAATTAGTGGTCTACATTACTATTCTACTTATCTGATGCTATTGATGAGCTTGTGTATGGATGATTATGATTAAGTTTTTCAAATATTGTGATTTAAATGTATGTTCACTTCTGTAATTTAAGATCACTTGCAGATTCGGTCAGTTTGATAGTGCAAAAGAAACCTTTGAAGTTACATCAGATTACGAAAGCATGCTTGATCTATTTATATGCCACCTAAATCCTAGTGCAATGAGGCGTCTTGCTCAGAAGTTGGAAGAAGAAGCTCTTGACTCAGAATTGAGGCGATACACTGAAAGGATTTTACGGATTCGATCTAGTGGATGGACTCAGGGCATATTTGCCAACTTTGCAGCAGAAAGTATGGTTCCTAAAGGACCTGAATGGGGTGGTGGCAACTGGGAAATCAAAACCCCTACTAATGCAAAGGATATACCTCAGTGGGAGCTTGCTGCAGAGGTGACGCCATATATGAAGAATGATGATGGTGCTATTCCATCCATTATTGTAGATCATATAGGTGTGTATTTAGGCTCAATTAGAGGAAGAGGCAATGTTGTTGAGGTAAGGGAAGATAGCTTGGTTAAAGACTTAATCCCTGCAAGTAAGGATTTTAAAGCAAATGGTCTTGAAGTATCTTCACTTAAACCCATATCTAATCAAGGGGTTGGTAATGCAAAAGGTGTTCCATTAATGGGTCTGGAAAGGTTTAGTAAACAGGGTGCCAGTTCCTCAACTGATGAACAGACTAAAGCAGAAGAGGAATTTAAGAAATCCATGTATGGAGCTGCTGCTTCTGACAGCAGCAGTGATGAGGAAGGAGTATCAAAAACCAAAAAGCTACGTGTTAGAATACGAGATAAGCCAGTTACCACTTCTGTGGATGTGGATAAAATTAAAGAAGCCACTAGTAAATTTAAACTAAGTGAAGCGTTAACTCCAACGAGGAGTAGGTCCTTTACTAGTGGATCCCAAGATCTTGGCCTGTCTCAGCCACCTGCAGCTACTGGAGTGGCTGCTCACACTGTTTCAGCTCCAGGTGACCTGTTTAGTACAATTTCCTTGACTCAACCAGAATCAATTTCACAGCCAACTCCTGGGGTTGCAAGTGGGGGAACTAAAGTAGGACCTATTCCAGAAGACTTCTTTGAGAATACAATTCCATCTCTTCAGGTTGCTGCTTCACTGGCTCCTGCTGGTAGATATCTCTCTAAATTTACTGCAGGAGCTCAAAGCGGCGAAGCAACTCAAAACCAGGCTAGTGCTTACGAATCTGATGTTAGTCATCAAGGTCATGTTTCTCCTCAAGCTGTTCAACTACCTGTGTCTCCTATCGAGACTGTAGGACTTCCTGATGGTGGTATACCACAATCCTCAAATCAGGCTGCAGTCATTCCCCAATCACAGTTTCCGGCACCAATTTCTAGCCAACCTCTTGATCTTAGTATATTTGGTGTACCAAATACTTCTAATTCTGAAAAGCCTCCACAAACTGGTTCTCCACCATCCTCTGTAAGACCAGGACAGGTATAAATACGTATGTGCATGCATTTTCATTTACACATAGGATGAGTAATGCTTTCTAAACATAGTATTAAAGATAAGGGAATACATAAACAGAAATTCTCATTTTATGGTGTTTGCTTTAATCATTTTGTTGATATTATAAATAGAGAAGAAATTAAATAGACTTGTCAGGAAAAAATTTCTGATTGAACTGGTGTGCTTATAAAGAGTGATTACTTCTGATAATGCTGCAACCAAGCAGTCAACTTTACTGAACCTAGTGAATCGCATATAACTAAGGTGTATTTTAGGAAGAAAGGAAAGGACAGCAGGGAATTGGAAGGACTAGTTTGGGAGAGTGTATTGTAATAACTGCACAGATTGCAGGTGGGGAAGTGACCTGATTCTGTTAGTGAATTAGAATGAAAAGGGAGATGAATGGGAAGGGCGGAAGCTGAGCCCTTGAAGAGTCTAAGTTCCTCTGTCACTTTCCTTATGTTTGAGTCTTTATCTTTGATATTTAATTTTATACAAGTCCTTATATGACACTGTTACCAACAGCTGAAGGACCTTGTGGAGGTATCTTCAATAAAAACTGTGTTCTAGTTTCTGTTTCCTACTTTGTAGTGTGTATTATTTTTCAGTTCCCAGTCTTATGTCTCCTATGACAGGTTCCCCGAGAAGCTGCTGCTTCTGTGTGTTTCAAGACTGGACTTGCTCACCTTGAGCTAAATCATCTTTCAGATGCTTTGTCTTGCTTTGATGAAGCTTTTCTTGCATTAGCTAAAGAACAATCTCGTGGAAGTGATATAAAAGCTCAAGCAACCATATGTGCTCAATACAAGATAACAGTCACTCTTCTTCGGGTATTACTACTATGCTTCAATTGCTAATAGAAGGGATAGAATGGACTCTGACCAATAAGTAAATTAGGTTGTTGAACTTCTATTTCTCTTGGTCATAATGTGGTCTTGTCGTAAAACAGTAGTTACCGATTTTCCATACTCAATATTTGTTGTGTAGCTAAGTAATCAGTGACAGTTCTATTGAAACTGTTTTTATTGTTACATTGAAAGTCTTTAATTATTTATAACCTTAAGCCTGTCTTCATTACTACAGGAAATTGTTCGTTTGCAAAGAGTTCATGGTCCAAGTGCTATTAGCGCTAAAGATGAGATGGCTAGACTTTCACGCCATCTAGGCTCATTGCCTTTGCTCGCAAAGCACAGAATAAATTGCATTCGAACTGCCATAAAACGAAATATAGAGGTGCAAAATTATGCATATTCCAAGAAAATGTTAGAACTACTATTATCTAAAGCACCTCCAAGTAAGCAGGAAGAATTTAGGAGCCTCATTGATTTGTGTGTTCAGAGGGGTTTGGTTAACAAGTCCATTGATCCATTGGAAGATCCATCACAATTCTGTGCTGCCACATTGAGCAGGCTGTCGACCATTGGATATGATGTCTGTGATCTCTGTGGATCTAAATTTTCAGCTGTGACTGCACCAGGATGCATCATATGTGGAATGGGCAGCATCAAGAGATCGGATGCAGTCGCAGGACCAGTTCCTTCTCCTTTTGGTTGAGCCACTAAAATTTATTTGCTTGTACTGTGTTTCCTTGCGATGCTGTTGTATAGAGAGAAGCAGCTCCATTGTAGGAAGGGATTCGTATAACTGAGAAAATTTCTGGCTATGGATCTAGGAAAATTATAATTTCTTCATTTTTGGCTTACAGCTTTTCAGTTTTCCATTTGTTTTTTCAATCTCTATCAAGGGGACACTTTCTATGTAATTACAGAATGTTGTTTTGCAATAATTTTGATAAATATATATTATCCATTTAGGAAGATAGGAACACAATTGTTCATTCGTAAACAACTTTGCTTTATAAGAAACTCGTCAGATGCTTATTTCCTATAACAGCATTTCTTGGCGCCTATTACAAAAACACATCGGTTCCATCAGTTCAGCAAAACCAGGGAAATACATAAAAAATATTTTAACCACATCAAGAAAGAAATTTAGTATGTAATGTTTAATAATTCTATTGTTTTTATTGACCCTAACAATGAAAAATGGAGAACTACCAAGCTTTTTAATTTTGTATTATAATGATCTTGTTAATCTCCTAGCTTGTCCTTGCATGTTTGTTCACTTCCTATCCCAGAAATGTGAGATTTTTTTCTGAAAAAAAAAATCCAATTTTGATTCAGCTAAAATTGTTTTCACATCACGACAGATTTGGTTTGGTCATACATTGTCAGACAAATAATTGATCATAAACCAACTTAAAGTTAAGAAAAGCATTACTCAGTGTCTACATAACAACAATACTGTTTAATTTGAGAAACAGATACCACAGGTGAAGAGCAGCTTCCATAGGAACTTGCAAATGTAACCAAAAGCTCTGACCATTCCAAGCCAAAACATACTCTGCACTTTCATCTCGTCATTTTTCACAGCTTTTGGTCAGGTTTGTCTCAAGGGAAGAATTGTAGGTGATAAGGAAATCTAAAGATGAAGTTATCAATTGTAATTACATTTAGCAGCTGGCCCCTCGCTTTTATTGGAATCTGACACCGCACAAGCTTTGAGTTGGTGTACACATTAGTTCCATCAGCCATAAAATACATAGAATGATGATGGGATGCTTTTATTTCATTTTCCTTTCTCAGTATTTTCTTAAATTCTAGCTGCACAAACCAGTCATTGGAAGTTCAGATAAAAGTGCACTGCGACAACCACTCATTTCAACATGGGATGGCAGCCTGGATCAATTCAAGGACCTAGCAACCATCAATGTTTCTGCTTCTTTGAATACTTCTTAGAAGACAATTGTAGAGAATATTGTACCTTCTGCATTAGAACCACAATCATTTAAGGACATTCAAGTATGCTGTATTCTAAATACGCCTAAAATATACCCAAAATAATTATGGGTACCCTTAACATGTTAGGAAAACTAAGATGATATCAAAGAAAGTGTTTATCCAAAATGCAAGTTTTGTCTTGATAGTTTCCCGAATAGAAACTCAAATATGTTTATTAGGTTAGATAAACACATAGTAGCAAGCATCAGCTTAATTACTGGTTTCCTGTTTGATCAATATCGACATTTTAGGCTTTAGTCTCACATAAACTATTATATGTACCAATATCTCTCACTTCAGATTATGAACAGATACCATAGGGATCACGACTGATCCTTTCCTTTCTGCATGCAGATGCAGAACTGGAAGTTATTTTTGATTTCCCTAATTTGTCATTGAATGTGCCTATTCTCATAAATATTCTACAGAAGCACTTGACAATATCCTCTGACTCCTTATCATCTAATGAACTTGAGGAACTCAAAGCTCTTTCTTGGTGCACTGATCTCCTCTCTATCTGAACAAGCAAAGCGAATGACAGCTCAGTTCTTTTTTTGTATTGAACAGTAATAATTGGACACTGCTGCATACCTGCAACTCCAAATGATCTGCATACACCTCATTTAATTCTTGTTTGATTAGAGACTTCTTCCCTGTTGTAATGAATTTGGCCATTTTCTTTTCCAGTGATTGCTTATCCTTTAGAGAACTATAAAAAAAGTGGTTTCTCTTTTGGTACCCCTCTTCTGGGATTGATGATAGCACCTCCTGTTTGATGTGCAGTTGTTTCCTGTTCACTAGCCTGTCAGAGTGATAAGTGACAATGCCAGATAACAGTTTTCTCTTGTAATCACTTCTAGGAAGAGAAAGTTGCGGCCTAGGTAGTTCTATTATGCTCACTTTAGGAAAAAGAATTTGATGTTTGATATTTGGAGCTTCTGATGGAGTTCTCGTCCATTGTGTCCATCAAATATTCTGATTTCCACTTAGAGGAAATGTAGACAGCTTCCTGATATAGAGCTTGGCTGAAATTCACAACATTTTCTTCTAGTCTAACCACCTCCTCCTCCAATACTGCTACTTCAGCCACAAGCTTTAGTATCTAAAATTCAATGTATAAAATAAGTAGAAATAAATAAAAGTTTATTACACTTTAAATACAAATTATATATATGCCTTCATCCGCAGTTTTTCTAATTCTATCAGATGAAACACTTCAATCTGTTTAAAAGAAAAACATGCTTCATTCATTGACCACTTCTGGGTTCCACCTATGCACACAAGGAAAAGCAGAAGACAGATACTAACATGTGGGGGGAGATAAGGAGGAAGACGAGGAAGGGACCCCAAAGGTCTTGTAAATGCTCTTTCTAACACTCTGTGAACATTCTCTTCCAGTCTAAGCTTCCTCTTCAACTTGTCAACCTGCACAGTTTTAACACATAACTACACTGACAAAGGGGTTCTAGAGAAAACACTTTGGGGAATTAAAGCGCAAAAGAAAGATGAATATCATTCACACACATCTTGTATCAATGCCATTTTCCTTTCTCTATTGGACCTATGCCCATTTTCTATGGTTTTCTCCATTGCCACCATTGCCTGAGTCCCTCGAGTTTCCATCTTATCCTGCTTTGCACGTTCAATGAAAATCTGTTATGCAAACTTTATGCAGGAAAAAGAAAAGGCAGAAGGCCGAGATTTCTTGTTTCTCATAAGAAGAGAAAGAACCCAGATTTGGTAAAAATTAAAAACAAAAATTATGCGTACCGTTTTATTTTTCAACCATTCAGAACTTTTTTAATGAGGTATCCTGTGAAAGAGAAAGAGTCAAGACTTCTATGAAAAAAAAAATTAGTATTTCAGGATTTTAAACTCGAGATTGCTGACTAAATATGAAAAACTCTAAGTCAGTCAGCTGGTTTTGAAGAACTCATTTCAGCTTTGTTTGAGAAGATGTTGCAAGTTACAATTGAACAGAAAAAGAAAGAAAGAAAGAAATCAGCTAAGCTTGTAAAACAGGAAGAAATTGCTTTGTCATCATTTAAAGGTGTTTCATTGCTCTGGGATTCAACCTTTTTGTGATCACTTTCCTTAGGAAAACAATGCAATCTAGTACTGCAAAAAACATGAAACATGTACAAGTTTTATGACATTGATAAAGTAATCCTCCCAAGCCGTAATGAGCAATGATAGCAATGATACAGAGGTTTTATGACACCGGAAGACAAGCTTTTAAAAAAAAGAAGAAGAAGAAGACAGAGGTTTTTGTTTTGCATTACATTAAGAGATCGAACAGAGTGAAAACAAACTAATTCAAACCCACCATAGACGGAGGAGAAAGAAAAGGATGAGACTTTAAGCTCGTTGCCTCATCCATGTACCAATGTAAATGTTCCAAAGTTGTTCCAAACACTGACTTTATATGAAAACCATAATCAAACCAAATATGATCTGATTTGGTTAATGATATTTTTTTCTATTATGCAACATTCATATTGCAACAAATAAACGTGGTTGACAGACATGGAAGATTGAGAGATTCTTTGTTGACTGTGTTACATGTCACAGACTGTGACGTGTAACTAAATACATTTATTTTGGTATTTAGATATGAGCTTCATGCGACATTGGAAATTCATGTTTTATATTTAGTAGTATTTATTAGATTCTGTCCAATTAAAGATGCTTCTGGAGAATAAGAAAGTGGACTCACTGTTGTTATCTGAGCTTCATCTTCAATATATCTGGGTTTTTCACAAGTTTTGTTATTAAATAGGAAATCTGGATTTGCTCCTTTGAAGTGGTCATGAACATTTTGATGCATTCCCAAACATACTCAATGGGATGTGTTGTCTGTAAATTCTGAGCCAAAATATAAGACAAAATTGTGAGTGCACTTAGCTGAAATTAAGACTAAGAAGCAAGCTTTTATAATGGTTTATTTATTGCGTATAATGCTAAGTTTGTTTTGTTTTGTTTGCAAGTTCTTTCTTTGTTTTTTACTCACTGCGTTCCTTTACACATTCTCAGATTCATCTGTTCTAAATATTATGCTGCTTTAAAATCATGTGAGAAAGAAGATGTACTGAGAGAGTATGAGAGGTGAAAAGAGTTCATTTTGAGGACATATTGGTGATAAATAACAACACAGATTTTGCCTTCATCATTCAGCTGCTTCCAAGGATAAAGTTTTTTAATAAAACAGTGAAAAGAAATTATCCCAACACCTCAATATCTCCCACTATCACTATCATACCCCCAACAACACATACAACATTTTCTGGTTATCAACTTTTCAGGTAAAATACATTTTGTGCGTAATACACTTTTAAATTCATTTAATATACAGTGTAAATGTAAAATAGTTATAAAANTCCTTGACTCAACCAGAATCAATTTCACAGCCAACTCCTGGGGTTGCAAGTGGGGGAACTAAAGTAGGACCTATTCCAGAAGACTTCTTTGAGAATACAATTCCATCTCTTCAGGTTGCTGCTTCACTGGCTCCTGCTGGTAGATATCTCTCTAAATTTACTGCAGGAGCTCAAAGCGGCGAAGCAACTCAAAACCAGGCTAGTGCTTACGAATCTGATGTTAGTCATCAAGGTCATGTTTCTCCTCAAGCTGTTCAACTACCTGTGTCTCCTATCGAGACTGTAGGACTTCCTGATGGTGGTATACCACAATCCTCAAATCAGGCTGCAGTCATTCCCCAATCACAGTTTCCGGCACCAATTTCTAGCCAACCTCTTGATCTTAGTATATTTGGGGTACCAAATACTTCTAATTCTGAAAAGCCTCCACAAACTGGTTCTCCACCATCCTCTGTAAGACCAGGACAGGTATAAATACGTATGTGCATGCATTTTCATTTACACATAGGATGAGTAATGCTTTCTAAACATAGTATTAAAGATAAGGGAATACATAAACAGAAATTCTCATTTTATGGTGTTTGCTTTAATCATTTTGTTGATATTATAAATAGAGAAGAAATTAAATAGACTTGTCAGGAAAAAATTTCTGATTGAACTGGTGTGCTTATAAAGAGTGATTACTTCTGATAATGCTGCAACCAAGCAGTCAACTTTACTGAACCTAGTGAATCGCATATAACTAAGGTGTATTTTAGGAAGAAAGGAAAGGACAGCAGGGAATTGGAAGGACTAGTTTGGGAGAGTGTATTGTAATAACTGCACAGATTGCAGGTGGGGAAGTGACCTGATTCTGTTAGTGAATTAGAATGAAAAGGGAGATGAATGGGAAGGGCGGAAGCTGAGCCCTTGAAGAGTCTAAGTTCCTCTGTCACTTTCCTTATGTTTGAGTCTTTATCTTTGATATTTAATTTTATACAAGTCCTTATATGACACTGTTACCAACAGCTGAAGGACCTTGTGGAGGTATCTTCAATAAAAACTGTGTTCTAGTTTCTGTTTCCTACTTTGTAGTGTGTATTATTTTTCAGTTCCCAGTCTTATGTCTCCTATGACAGGTTCCCCGAGAAGCTGCTGCTTCTGTGTGTTTCAAGACTGGACTTGCTCACCTTGAGCTAAATCATCTTTCAGATGCTTTGTCTTGCTTTGATGAAGCTTTTCTTGCATTAGCTAAAGAACAATCTCGTGGAAGTGATATAAAAGCTCAAGCAACCATATGTGCTCAATACAAGATAACAGTCACTCTTCTTCGGGTATTACTACTATGCTTCAATTGCTAATAGAAGGGATAGAATGGACTCTGACCAATAAGTAAATTAGGTTGTTGAACTTCTATTTCTCTTGGTCATAATGTGGTCTTGTCGTAAAACAGTAGTTACCGATTTTCCATACTCAATATTTGTTGTGTAGCTAAGTAATCAGTGACAGTTCTATTGAAACTGTTTTTATTGTTACATTGAAAGTCTTTAATTATTTATAACCTTAAGCCTGTCTTCATTACTACAGGAAATTGTTCGTTTGCAAAGAGTTCATGGTCCAAGTGCTATTAGCGCGAAAGATGAGATGGCTAGACTTTCACGCCATCTAGGCTCATTGCCTTTGCTCGCAAAGCACAGAATAAATTGCATTCGAACTGCCATAAAACGAAATATAGAGGTGCAAAATTATGCATATTCCAAGAAAATGTTAGAACTACTATTATCTAAAGCACCTCCAAGTAAGCAGGAAGAATTTAGGAGCCTCATTGATTTGTGTGTTCAGAGGGGTTTGGTTAACAAGTCCATTGATCCATTGGAAGATCCATCACAATTCTGTGCTGCCACATTGAGCAGGCTGTCGACCATTGGATATGATGTCTGTGATCTCTGTGGATCTAAATTTTCAGCTGTGACTGCACCAGGATGCATCATATGTGGAATGGGCAGCATCAAGAGATCGGATGCAGTCGCAGGACCAGTTCCTTCTCCTTTTGGTTGAGCCACTAAAATTTATTTGCTTGTACTGTGTTTCCTTGCGATGCTGTTGTATAGAGAGAAGCAGCTCCATTGTAGGAAGGGATTCGTATAACTGAGAAAATTTCTGGCTATGGATCTAGGAAAATTATAATTTCTTCATTTTTGGCTTACAGCTTTTCAGTTTTCCATTTGTTTTTTCAATCTCAATCAAGGGGACACTTTCTATGTAATTACAGAATGTTGTTATGCAATAATTTTGATAAATATATATTATCCATTTAGGAAGATAGGAACACAATTGTTCATTCGTAAACAACTTTGCTTTATAAGAAACTCGTCAGATGCTTATTTCCTATAACAGCATTTCTTGGCGCCTATTACAAAAACACATCGGTTCCATCAGTTCAGCAAAACCAGGGAAATACATAAAAAATATTTTAACCACATCAAGAAAGAAATTTAGTATGTAATGTTTAATAATTCTATTGTTTTTATTGACCCTAACAATGAAAAATGGAGAACTACCAAGCTTTTTAATTTTGTATTATAATGATCTTGTTAATCTCCTAGCTTGTCCTTGCATGTTTGTTCACTTCCTATCCCAGAAATGTGAGATTTTTTTCTGAAAAAAAAATCCAATTTTGATTCAGCTAAAATTGTTTTCACATCACGACAGATTTGGTTTGGTCATACATTGTCAGACAAATAATTGATCATAAACCAACTTAAAGTTAAGAAAAGCATTACTCAGTGTCTACATAACAACAATACTGTTTAATTTGAGAAACAGATACCACAGGTGAAGAGCAGCTTCCATAGGAACTTGCAAATGTAACCAAAAGCTCTGACCATTCCAAGCCAAAACATACTCTGCACTTTCATCTCGTCATTTTTCACAGCTTTTGGTCAGGTTTGTCTCAAGGGAAGAATTGTAGGTGATAAGGAAATCTAAAGATGAAGTTATCAATTGTAATTACATTTAGCAGCTGGCCCCCCGCTTTTATTGGAATCTGACACCGCACAAGCTTTGAGTTGGTGTACACATTAGTTCCATCAGCCATAAAATACATAGAATGATGATGGGATGCTTTTATTTCATTTTCCTTTCTCAGTATTTTCTTAAATTCTAGCTGCACAAACCAGTCATTGGAAGTTCAGATAAAAGTGCACTGCGACAACCACTCATTTCAACATGGGATGGCAGCCTGGATCAATTCAAGGACCTAGCAACCATCAATGTTTCTGCTTCTTTGAATACTTCTTAGAAGACAATTGTAGAGAATATTGTACCTTCTGCATTAGAACCACAATCATTTAAGGACATTCAAGTATGCGGTATTCTAAATACGCCTAAAATATACCCAAAATAATTATGGGTACCCTTAACATGTTAGGAAAACTAAGATGATATCAAAGAAAGTGTTTATCCAAAATGCAAGTTTTGTCTTGATAGTTTCCCGAATAGAAACTCAAATATGTTTATTAGGTTAGATAAACACATAGTAGCAAGCATCAGCTTAATTACTGGTTTCCTGTTTGATCAATATCGACATTTTAGGCTTTAGTCTCACATAAACTATTATATGTACCAATATCTCTCACTTCAGATTATGAACAGATACCATAGGGATCACGACTGATCCTTTCCTTTCTGCATGCAGATGCAGAACTGGAAGTTATTTTTGATTTCCCTAATTTGTCATTGAATGTGCCTATTCTCATAAATATTCTACAGAAGCACTTGACAATATCCTCTGACTCCTTATCATCTAATGAACTTGAGGAACTCAAAGCTCTTTCTTGGTGCACTGATCTCCTCTCTATCTGAACAAGCAAAGCGAATGACAGCTCAGTTCTTTTTTTGTATTGAACAGTAATAATTGGACACTGCTGCATACCTGCAACTCCAAATGATCTGCATACACCTCATTTAATTCTTGTTTGATTAGAGACTTCTTCCCTGTTGTAATGAATTTGGCCATTTTCTTTTCCAGTGATTGCTTATCCTTTAGAGAACTATAAAAAAAGTGGTTTCTCTTTTGGTACCCCTCTTCTGGGATTGATGATAGCACCTCCTGTTTGATGTGCAGTTGTTTCCTGTTCACTAGCCTGTCAGAGTGATAAGTGACAATGCCAGATAACAGTTTTCTCTTGTAATCACTTCTAGGAAGAGAAAGTTGCGGCCTAGGTAGTTCTATTATGCTCACTTTAGGAAAAAGAATTTGATGTTTGATATTTGGAGCTTCTGATGGAGTTCTCGTCCATTGTGTCCATCAAATATTCTGATTTCCACTTAGAGGAAATGTAGACAGCTTCCTGATATAGAGCTTGGCTGAAATTCACAACATTTTCTTCTAGTCTAACCACCTCCTCCTCCAATACTGCTACTTCAGCCACAAGCTTTAGTATCTAAAATTCAATGTATAAAATAAGTAGAAATAAATAAAAGTTTATTACACTTTAAATACAAATTATATATATGCCTTCATCCGCAGTTTTTCTAATTCTATCAGATGAAACACTTCAATCTGTTTAAAAGAAAAACATGCTTCATTCATTGACCACTTCTGGGTTCCACCTATGCACACAAGGAAAAGCAGAAGACAGATACTAACATGTGGGGGGAGATAAGGAGGAAGACGAGGAAGGGACCCCAAAGGTCTTGTAAATGCTCTTTCTAACACTCTGTGAACATTCTCTTCCAGTCTAAGCTTCCTCTTCAACTTGTCAACCTGCACAGTTTTAACACATAACTACACTGACAAAGGGGTTCTAGAGAAAACACTTTGGGGAATTAAAGCGCAAAAGAAAGATGAATATCATTCACACACATCTTGTATCAATGCCATTTTCCTTTCTCTATTGGACCTATGCCCATTTTCTATGGTTTTCTCCATTGCCACCATTGCCTGAGTCCCTCGAGTTTCCATCTTATCCTGCTTTGCACGTTCAATGAAAATCTGTTATGCAAACTTTATGCAGGAAAAAGAAAAGGCAGAAGGCCGAGATTTCTTGTTTCTCATAAGAAGAGAAAGAACCCAGATTTGGTAAAAATTAAAAACAAAAATTATGCGTACCGTTTTATTTTTCAACCATTCAGAACTTTTTTAATGAGGTATCCTGTGAAAGAGAAAGAGTCAAGACTTCTATGAAAAAAAAAATTAGTATTTCAGGATTTTAAACTCGAGATTGCTGACTAAATATGAAAAACTCTAAGTCAGTCAGCTGGTTTTGAAGAACTCATTTCAGCTTTGTTTGAGAAGATGTTGCAAGTTACAATTGAACAGAAAAAGAAAGAAAGAAAGAAATCAGCTAAGCTTGTAAAACAGGAAGAAATTGCTTTGTCATCATTTAAAGGTGTTTCATTGCTCTGGGATTCAACCTTTGTGTGATCACTTTCCTTAGGAAAACAATGCAATCTAGTACTGCAAAAAACATGAAACATGTACAAGTTTTATGACATTGATAAAGTAATCCTCCCAAGCCGTAATGAGCAATGATAGCAATGATACAGAGGTTTTATGACACCGGAAGACAAGCTTTTAAAAAAAAGAAGAAGAAGAAGACAGAGGTTTTTGTTTTGCATTACATTAAGAGATCGAACAGAGTGAAAACAAACTAATTCAAACCCACCATAGACGGAGGAGAAAGAAAAGGATGAGACTTTAAGCTCGTTGCCTCATCCATGTACCAATGTAAATGTTCCAAAGTTGTTCCAAACACTGACTTTATATGAAAACCATAATCAAACCAAATATGATCTGATTTGGTTAATGATATTTTTTTCTATTATGCAACATTCATATTGCAACAAATAAACGTGGTTGACAGACATGGAAGATTGAGAGATTCTTTGTTGACTGTGTTACATGTCACAGACTGTGACGTGTAACTAAATACATTTATTTTGGTATTTAGATATGAGCTTCATGCGACATTGGAAATTCATGTTTTATATTTAGTAGTATTTATTAGATTCTGTCCAATTAAAGATGCTTCTGGAGAATAAGAAAGTGGACTCACTGTTGTTATCTGAGCTTCATCTTCAATATATCTGGGTTTTTCACAAGTTTTGTTATTAAATAGGAAATCTGGATTTGCTCCTTTGAAGTGGTCATGAACATTTTGATGCATTCCCAAACATACTCAATGGGATGTGTTGTCTGTAAATTCTGAGCCAAAATATAAGACAAAATTGTGAGTGCACTTAGCTGAAAATAAGACTAAGAAGCAAGCTTTTATAATGGTTTATTTATTGCGTATAATGCTAAGTTTGTTTTGTTTTGTTTGCAAGTTCTTTCTTTGTTTTTTACTCACTGCGTTCCTTGACACATTCTCAGATTCATCTGTTCTAAATATTATGCTGCTTTAAAATCATGTGAGAAAGAAGATGTACTGAGAGAGTATGAGAGGTGAAAAGAGTTCATTTTGAGGACATATTGGTGATAAATAACAACACAGATTTTGCCTTCATCATTCAGCTGCTTCCAAGGATAAAGTTTTTTAATAAAACAGTGAAAAGAAATTATCCCAACACCTCAATATCTCCCACTATCACTATCATACCCCCAACAACACATACAACATTTTCTGGTTATCAACTTTTCAGGTAAAATACATTTTGTGCGTAATACACTTTTAAATTCATTTAATATACAGTGTAAATGTAAAATAGTTATAAAATAACAAATTTTTTATGTTTTAAAAAAAAATAAAGATAATATCAAGTATATCAAAATATATTTTTTTATATGTAAATACATCAAAAGGAATTAACTTAACTTATGGATACTCTTTTATCATTTTTTTTAATTTAACTGTTAAGATAGATTCTTTTAGAATAATCTAATCTTAAAAAGAAAATAAGGGAATGAATGGTAACTTTGGAGTTATTATTTTTATCACTTCTTGTTATATCGATCATTTACAATTTAGTTAATCACAATTTTAATTTAGCATAATCATAATTATTTTTTAATATATAATTATTCATCAATCCTGTTGAATTAAGATCCAGCCCTTCTTTCATTTCAAGTGATACAATTTTAAGATGCAACATGATTTAACAAATATTTAATTGATACAATTTAAGAAAAAAAATTCCCGAATTTTCACGTATTTTTGTTATAAATTATTCTACAACTTTTTATGTTTTTTCCAACTACTCAATACAAGTAATAATCTATTAGTTTATCCTCTTAGCTATATAGATGTTATTAAAAAATAGCTTCAAATATTTAATTGTTGCTGTTCTGAAATTAAAAAAAAAAAAGCAATTAAGAAGATTATTAGTTTAAAAGGGGGGGAGTACTAGTTTAGAAGAGTAAATAATAAATACTTCTTTTTTATTTTCTTAAGCTAATTCATGATTTAGACAAAAGAAACTAGAGACATGGATAAAACATAACTTAATCAAATTTCGAGTTCATAATAAATTTAAAAACTTTTAATTAAGCTTTTAATACATTTTTATGACTAATTAAATCTCATTTAAGTGGTGTAACTATTAATTGAATCATGTGATTATTATCTTATTACATCACTTTATTTGTTACTGCATATAATTTTATAAAATTATATAATGTTATAAAATTGTAAAATTAGCATTGGTGCATCTGTACTGTGGCAAACCTTCATCCTATTTTCTTATTCATAATCTGATATGTGAAAATCACCATTTTTGTCTGATAGTTCATTGATTTAAATTCCTCCACTTCATGGCTTGTAGAAATGTGCAAGCATTTTTTTTTATAAAGCTCAGGTTATGATCTCCATGGACAGGAAATGTAAAGATTTGAGAGAATAAAAGAAAAAAATATTCAATAACTTGTATATGTGTTCAAACCAATTTAATGCACAATCAACAAGGCTGCCTTTTACTATTGTTGAAGTTTTAATTTCTTGTGTTTAATAGTGAAATGTTAAAATTATATTGTATCAGACAAATAACTTCAATTTGGTTTTCTTTTTCTGTACGATTGTCTTAAGAATATACTAATTTTTGTTTAAAAAAAATAGACTTAGATTAATCTCAAACATCCTAAAACATTAATCACGAGTTGTATAAACAAGTGAAACAACACAAAATCTTGCCTTCTGAAAGTGCTCAAATATACACACATTTTTCATTTTACATTTTAAACTCCTTAATTCAAATTGAAAGAAAGATAATGAGATTTTACATTCTGAATTGTAAGGCTGCATGAAGAAATAGCCTTCATAGAATTGTGGATATTATTGATTTTTATTTGTCTTTCTGCCTTTTATTTATAAACCAAAAACCAAGAGCTTTTCGTGTCAATTATGTGCTTTGTTGTGTTCAACCATTGGAACACAATAATAAACCTCAAAGCCTACGCACACACCATCCTTTGCTGTCACACCAAGAAACCAGTTTTGGTGGGACATTGCCACTGCCCAATAAGTCTTTCCAAAACTACCTTTTCATCTGTGAATAATACACACGGTTTAAAAAGTATAAGTCTGAGATAAAAATAAATAAATAAATAAATACTATATAAGAATTAAGATCCATAATTCTAACTTTGAAATCTCACCTATCAAATTCAAACTCAAACTAAATTTACATCAAGTTATTAAATTGAGAATTAAATAACATAATATTGTGTATTTAATAATGAGTATGTTTTATATATTGTTTATATAACAATAAAAGACAATAATACTTTAATATTAAAAAAAATCATTTAACAGTATTTTTTTTCTTTAAAAATATAAAAGTTTAAGCATATAAGTGGATAAAAACTTCGTCTAACAATTTATTAGATTTATAAAAAAAAAATCATTAAAAAAGATACAATAACAATAAAATATGAATATGCCTATAGTTTTTAGATTTATTAGTAGATCTGAAAGGCCATGTGAACTCTAGTGAATATGCCTGTAGTTTTTTTTGGGTATAAGTGCACCAAAATAAAAATTAAAAAAAAAAAAGAACTTGTGCGCATATAATGGTAAAGTCAAGAATTGTGTTGGAAGTATTCCTCCAAGTTATAGTGTCGGTTGTGATGTTGGAATGGTGTGGGAAATGGTCCAACACTGGAATTTGGACCACATTTTGCTCATTATTTAACAGGGATTACTTTTTACACTTCTATACTTTCCTTCTAAAGTTCACATTCTTTTAAAATATACATTTATTTCCTTTTTGTGATTGATATCCCGTTTAATTTTTGTGCCCTTTTAGCTGAAAATCTTGTGATTTTTGTGTCCTTTTAGCTGAAAATCTTGTGATTTTTGTGCCCTTTTAGCTGAAAATCTTGTGAGGTGATGGTTGATGCAACAAAGGATTAGCATTTTGTCTTCAACCAAAGCTGAAGAACCTCAACATAACGATTCTACCATTCAGGCATTATAGATCCAAAGGTTTGCAAGGATAAAATAAACTTATGGATTCAACAAGTAGGAAGTGAAAAAAAAAAAGGTTAATTTTGAATTCATCAAACCAAAAAATAGTAATAATAAAGTTGATGAAGATATATAGAGAGAGGTGTAAGAAGAAAACATGAAGGTAGTGAGGAAGCAATTGCTTAATTGAATTAACATGGGACCAATTGAATGGACTTATAGAGTGAGTAGTCCCTTTCAGTTTTTCTGGAGAGCCCATGATGCCTTAATGATAGTATAACTAAAGTACGGATATACAGCCTTCTCCACTTTATGCAACTTTACACTAACTTTTAATATTTTCAAACTTCAAAATAAAGATTGCAACATGTATCTATCTGTCTTAATATACAAAAAGTACACGATTGCATACTTCAGATTTACTTCTGTGGGTGCTCGCATGGTCAACGTCTGGATTGTGCATCATGAGGAGAGATGGTCCCAAATTTAACTTATTATTATATTTTAATACATTTTATAATATAATAATTTATAATCTAATAACATATAACACTTGGTTATAT